TCCTCTAATTACAGTGATCAGGAGTAAATGGCCACCGGGCAGTTGCTGCACTGTTACATAAGGCGCGTTGCTTCCTAAAGCTCCAAGAGCAGAACGATTAAATAACAGCTCGTGTTGTCCATGTGCCCCTGATAGACCAACGTGATTTTAAGTGCTGCACCTGCAGGAACTGAATAGAATATCTGGGGCCCCCTGTTAGCATTGCCTTATTTATGCCTTCAGTGTGAATATTCTTGTTCTATCTTTTCATGCCTTAGTGGGTTTCTGAAATGCCTTCACTAGGGAATTTGGGACTTTGGTTGTTTTGGCTGAGTTAAGAGCAAAACCAAAGACTCCAGGTGGTCCTATGACTGCTGAGGTGGCAAATGGTGGCAGTACTTGCCAACCTCAAGACCTTCACCAAGGCAGACTTGAGCATAGAGCAATGTACTTTCTGCAGCTCTCTATTAATGCACCTGTGTTCATCAGCACGACTGATGGAAACAGTGGGACTGCATTTTCTAACATCAGGGTAGCTATGATCAGTGCTGATGCAAGTTGATGATTGGGTATTTGTGCTACTGCGTAATAATAGCTGCAACACAGACCTCTTTCTCTGCTGTCGCTTCTTTTATTCAGAAGCCTTGACTCACTTTTCAAAACCCTTTAAAATATGTTAAATGAAGGTGTTGTGTTGAATTCTTGCAGTATACTGAATTTAAAGCACAGGCATTAATAAGGACATGACTTAAGCCTGGCAAAATAACTCAAACTTTATTTGACAGAAATTGCCTTGCTTTTTTTAGACATTTCCTTAAAAATAGGAAGTATGAAATGTAATTTCTGTTATAAATGTCCTTTTCTGCTTTTTATTTGAGGAAAAAAAATTGCTTCTTGCAGAATCTGCCTCAACATTGAGAAGATACCACTGAGACCACTCAGTCCATCTGTGTTGAACTGAAAACAGTCTCGAGTCTTGTTGACATCTCTGCAATTTGTCTGGCCTTAATATTTAATGAGTCTGAGCCTCTGGTCTCTAAGTGGTAAAAGTGGTGCTTCAAAAAACTGCCTTGCGGCTTTGCCATCGTTCTCCTCAGACTTAATTTTAGAGGTGGGCTTGCAACTCCGTGTCTGAGGGATAAGGCTGGAGATGCAACAGAGGCAAAGCTCCTTTCAGCAGGGAAATGAGAGCAGTCACAGCTGTGGATAAAGGGCTGCTGGAAAAGGTGGGGCACCTCCATGAGGACAAAGCTGTTGTTTTTTCTTCCTCCTCCAGCTAGGAGGTGTAGGGAGTCTCAGGGAAATACGGAGTCTGGATAAACTGGTTTAGGCATTGTCTGCCACAGTTAAGACACTTTATTTCCAAGCTTATGAGTCAGGTTATCATTTTCTCTCTTTGAGTACAGAGGAGTCAATTTTCCAGATTGCTGACAGGTTCACACAAATCTTATTTATAATGAAATTATAATTGGCATTTGTTCATCCCCTGCAACCTAGAGTTGCTACCTTGTAACCTAGAGTTGCTAAGCTCGAGTTGGGAGGTTGCTGTTGAAATAGCAGCCTTTTCTGGCATTCACTGTAAGACTTCTGGATTATTTTTGGTATGTGAAGGTAGCTACTTGCAATTGAAAAGTAGTGCTCTAAGTTACACTTTTGATTTGGTAGCTGTTATTTCAGTCTTCTGAAACTCTTCCTCCCAAAAAATTATTCTTTCTTTATTTTTTGACCCACAAAAGTAGCTTTTTAGGTTTCAAAAGTGATTTTTAGCAAGTAGCTTTCAGCTGACATTTAAATGAAAAAACAACAACAACAAAAATTTCTAATTTTTCTGCGGGATTGAATTAAAACTTGATTTTTTTTCCTTTACTCATTTATGCATGAAATTTGTATATAGTCTCAGATGATCTGCTTTTATTCCTAACATGTCCTTAGAGTTTGAACGTGTGTTTGAGCTTTGAAATATCTGATTGGTTTGTGAGACTTCAGTGCTTACACTTGGACATAGATTTTTATTTTTCTCTTTGTCAGTTGATTACTATTTTTCCCCACCTATCTCAAAGTACTATCTAAAAGATAAATGTGTGGAAGCTGTTGCAAAGTGCTAATGGCTTTCAAAAGGCAAATCATTAAGTAAGAACACTTTTCTTGAAGTGCATCAAACGCTTTCATGTTTGCAAAAATTCAGCTTCCATTTACAGCACTTCTATGTGTTTCTGTTATTTACAAACTACCCAGAGCAGATCCAGGGTCAGCCTATGGGCATAAATGAGCTCAGTTGTAATACTGTTAAATACTATTTAAAAGGTAGCAGAGACCCAAAGGCTCCTTCAGTTTTGAGGAGGTAGCAAAAATTGGGCTGAATTGAGCTGTTGGACTGAAAATGCTTAAAGCCTCAAACATTCTGGGATTAAAGGAAAAGTTATCTTCTGAGTTAGGGCCCAGAGTGGGGATGAGAGCGTCAGACAAGCATAGGCTTTGGCTAGTTTTTCTTGCTAGCTTTGTAAGCTTGGGTGTGTGGAAAAGGATGATGCGACAACTGTTTCCTGACGGCTCTGGATAAGCATCATTTATTCATCCTAGTAGTGTCTTGGATTAAGTTGTACAAATTATTTTATCAAAACTGAACTTGGTGCTGGAGGCAAAATGGAAGCTTACAACGAGCGTTCGCCTCCAGTGAAGCCAATCTGCAGTCCTTGTGGGCTGAGGTGACTTCCTAAGGTGTGGGTTGTAAGGATATTTAGAAGTGCACATATGAAGTGGTGACCAATCTTGGAGTAACTATGACTTGAGGTCTCAAGAGATGTCTTTCCAAGAGACCAGATAAACATCCCTGTCAACCATGTTGTCTAAAAACAATAATGATTTTAAAAATGAAAAGCTTGTTGTAAAGGCTTGCATGTTCTCTGAGGGAAACTTTTTTTGGACCATCTTGGTGCATTTAGGTTTTCTGAGCACTCAACTGCAAGGTGATGAAATCAGTTATAAACACAAACCAATATTTTGAAGGGGTTGTCTGTTTTGTGGTAGGTGTGGGATAGAGAAAATGTTCTGTGTTATATTGAATGTTACGACTGGTATGTGGATTACTCTGTCAAGCATTTTGTTAGTTTAAGAAAAGATTGTATTTGGAGAAGTGAAAGTGAAGTGAAGCCAGAACTAGCTGATGCAGGATCTTATTTCACCTGAAAAATCTAAGTGGAAAAGTAAAGTAAAGAGGTCGTGAAAGTGATGCCTGAGCAGTAATGTGGTTGGTAAATTTAAAAAAAAAAAAAAAAAAAAAAGCGTATGCAAAAATGGTAAAGGGCTTGCTAGTATGATGGGCAGCAGTACTTCCTTCATGACCTACTTATTCTCTGTTAGCTTGCATGTGTGGGTGCAAGTCAATCCCTTGCCCTCCAGTTTTACAGAAAGTGGGAGTTGTTAATGTTTTCTGGTGGCAAATGTCAAAGTTACTATTTTTTTTTATATACACACAATATGCTATTTAAAATTTTTAGATGCAATTGTTGAAGTCAATGTAACTGAGCTAGTTAGATGTAGTTACCCCCTTATGATTGCACAGGCAAAGATCATGTCACACAAAACAATGCCACAAATTGTGGAGGATGTTGTGGTGATGAGTGCCTGAAGCAGCCCTGAAAGTGCAGTGCTATAAGGTGGGTGAAATATAATGAGTCTTTTGGCCTTGGGCCCTCCTGAAAGGGTATCTACTCATTCTGGGGAATAAGAAGTGCTTTGTGGTGATTAGTTTGCATGTGGAAAAAAAGGAAGGGGGTTTTGCTTGCTTTGTCAAAACAGTAGGTATGGAAAACCTACAGGTTCAATCTGAAAATCCGATTTTTGTTCTTGAAGTTATATTTGTTCAAGAAGGCAGAGAGAAGTTTGTGGGAATTCCCTGATGATGATGGTTGAGATACTTGCACGCATGTAAAATGGCCAAGCAGATGGGAGCAGCCTCCTGAAGTGTCTGTGCTGTGACTGCCACTGTAAGTGAAGAGCAGCCTTTGGAAGGATATTTCACTCCTCACCTTTTCTGTCCCGCTGCCAGGAGCACTACCCCTGCAGCCCTGTAGCATTAGCAGCTCTTCTGGCAGCTGGGTAGAGGACAGATTCTTCTGTGTAGCTGGGGCTGGCTGCTGTTAAGCTGTAATAAATCTGGTTTTATTTGGTCTCACCCACAACTTTTGGGCTAGGAGGGTGTTTGAGATCAGAGGTTCTTGATCACTGGTGAGAATTCTAGGTTAGGAATGAGGTGGTGCATAGAGGAGAGCTCAGTAACTGTGGCTGCTTGGGCACCGGGCCAGCACCCTTCACACTGAAGGGCAAAGGGGTAGTGAAAATAGCAGCTGAGGATGCGTCTGGGCTTTAGCAGAGTGGGCAAGGAGGCAGCAGTCTGTAATGGGTGCAGAGCAAGAAGGTGACTGGGACTCGCAGGGTGGGTGGGTGAGGTGGCAGTAAGGCAGAACTGGTACCAGTTTAGGGGAAGGAGGAAGGTGATAACAGGCTGCTTGGATTGGGAAAGTCTCCCTGGGAGACGCACAGCGAGCATCATGGAGCTGATGTGGGTTTGAGGTGTTTTTCTTTTGGAACTCTAAGCACAGTTTTCTTCTCTGGCTCATGAGTATGGGTCGGAAAGAAGGAAGTCTCATAAAGCTGCTCATGCACTACAGGCTTCAGCAGAAGTCATTTGCCTGCTTAGTACAGTTAGTACTAAAATGACTATGTTTAAGAGGGAAAAGGCAGTCTTCATGCAGTGGGAGTGACTCCCTCCTGACATGTGAGGCAGGATGTGTGTCTAGTGCCAGCAGGTTAGCTGGTGTAGAGTGGGAGTGATCAAGCACTGTGCTGGGTTTGCGGGAAGGCAATGGCAAGATAGGTTTTCTGTTGGGATACTGGAGGGAGGGGAATTGTACTAATGACTTCGGTGATCACACATAATGAACTCAGCAAAGGTGGCAAGGAGACAGCTCTGTGGCTCTGTCTCCTGGGTCAGTGCATCTCCTTGCAAGCCACTGACTTACCTCGTTGATTAGCACCAGCTGGTCTTCTGCCCACAGATACAGAGCCTGGGGCAAAAGGCAAAAAGGACTGCCTTCAGAATTCGGTCAACTTACACTTTATCTGACTTAGTTAGGAGGCTGCTCTGTTGGTAAACGCATGTGGCTTGGAGCATGAAGACTTTAGCGGAGAGAAAAGCAAGTTCCCTTCAGACAACTCATTTGATGCATTTTTTTTAGTGCAGTCACCTTGCTCAAACTTCTTTTTGTTCTTTTATTCCTAACACTTTGCTTGATTTTTTTTTTAGTGCAGTTACCTTGCTCAAACATCTTTTTAAAAGTTCTTTTATTCCTAACACTTTGCTTGGGCTGCTGTCATAATGAGAAACTGCCTGAAATATTTGTTTAGGATTTTGGACTCTATACATCTCCATCACTTTAAACCTGTGAATGTTTGTTGAATGTATGGAGGCCTGAGGCTGGAGTACTAACTGCCTTTCAGCTACAGAGCAGACTTATCTGCAGCTACCAGCTCTCCCTGCAGCTGTCATGGAGCCTTTGAAAGGAAGCCGAGGTGCAGAGATGGATCCCTTCCCTGCCCTTCCCCCTCCAGCCTCTCCTGTGTGTCACACACTCGAAATCAAATGATGGTGTCAGCAAAGAGATTGCTGCTGCTTACTGAGCTGCAGCTGGGTTTCAGGTGGAGCCTGGCTCTGTGCCCTGGCGGATTAACAACCCCTCAGCTGGAGCTTGATGGCATGTGTGTATGGGGGGCAAGGAGCAGCATGTAAAACACTTAATGGCTGCTTTTAAGCTTGGAGGTTTCACTTCTCGCTAGTGTCTGAGTCAGGTGATATTAATGCAGTGGTTTTTGTAACAAGCAGCACGAGATTATTCTTTTTTGGACTCTGAGGAAGCCGTAGCCCCCAGTTTGAGATATGCCAGCCCTATCTACTATGTGTATGCAAGTCATGAGAAAAGCAGTAAGAAAGTAGAAAGGCAACAGAAAATCTTTGTATTTAAACAGTACTGCTGCTCCTTTGCCTGCTGGTGTGGTTGCAAAGATGCACAGAGGAAAGTACCTCAGTGTTCGGGCTGTTCATCATCTTGGTTCCAAGTCTTTATTGAAAAAGCTCTCTTCCTGCAGCGAGGTGCAGTGGGTGCCCTGATAGGAAGGCACTTCCATACAGAATGGGGAAAGAGAAGCACAATGTGACCAAACTAGTGTTTTGCCGTGGCCTGTTGCTGCTCACGGCTCTGGCATGTGTATGGCTTTCACTACTCGGGGTGTTACAGCTAAGAACGAATGCTTCTGTTGCCGAAAGAACAAAGCACAGTTTTAAATTTTATGTGCAAAAATATTTGACAGCACATGTATTGTTACATCTGTGTTACATGAAACAAGGTTATGCAGTGAATGAACTTGAAAGCCAAGGAGCGCGGAGGGTTGAGATCAGTTACAGCCTCTAGCCTTTTTTGTAATCTCTGGTGAATATTTGTCCTTTTTATAACTGTGGTATCTTATTTCTTTAAGTTAAGCGTCCCTCTAAATTGTTTTATGTGGTTTGTCCTTGTCCAGTGAATCATTGCTAAAATTGGGAAACTGGTCGGGAACTCTGACTCATAGTCCCGTGTTTGGACAAGAGGCCACGTTTTGACCACAGGGTAGTTTTCTTCTAGGGCTAAGCTTTCAGTTAGGCTGACAGTCTTATGGGTGTTTTCCCAGCTCAGTCTTTTTCCTGAATGTTGGATTGTGGAGGAAATTCAGGGCAATTTTTTCCTACTGACTGTCACGTTGTGACAGACTCTGTGATTGTCATCTTGCTAATAGCTTTTGCTTATTTGCCGAAGTTATTTAGAACACCTGGATTTTTCTGCAGTTATAACAGTTCTGTGTGAAACTTAGTAATTTTGAGTGACTGCTGCCACCAGCAGTGACTGCAGGCATTTGGCAAGCAGTCTTCTGTTTAAGCTAGTTGCATTTTTAAATTATTTTTCTTCTTATCTTTACCTTTTTCTTTAATCATATCTTCAGTAAGTTGCCGCATGCTCTAATGCATTATGTCTGCCTCTTTGTATATGGCTCATCAATTCTTTTCCAAGTGTATCACTACATATATCCTATGAGTATATAGATCATGATATAATACTGTGATAAAAATGTAGTTCCCCTAGAATAGAAGTGAACAACCAAAATGGTTAGGCTGAAGGCATTTTTGATCACTCCAGCCATTCTTGCAGCATTTCTGGAACTCGGAGCCCGAGGGATGTGCATGGTATGTGTGTGGCCACGCAGTGCCAAGTGTCAGGTTAACTCATTGGCTTTATGCTCCCAGTGTCCTCGACACTTTTTTGAGTAATCCTGAACTAAACCATCATACTGCTAGGAGAAGTTGATAGTTCTGAGGGCATCCCTACCCAATTAGCACTAGTAAAATATATGAGAATGAGGTGGCTCTCTGCTTCGCATAGGAACAGGGCTTCTGTCTCAAGCTGTGAATTGGCTGAGGATGCTCTTACAGCTTGCCTTCTGCAAATCCATAAAAATGATTATGACAACTCCTATTTCTTTGAGTGATTGGACAGGCATTCCTAAATTCATGTTGTAGTTACTGCAGTTCATCTAGATGCAAGGACACTGAGTGGCAAGCAAATAGTATGAAGATGGTGGCTTGTTAGCTCTTCTGTAAAGTTCTGATTTGATTAGTTTAAATACAACGTTACTGGCTCTGTTCTGGATCCGGAAAAGCTCTTGAATAATTTTATTTGTAAGAAGATTTGAAACTTCCTGATAAATTGTTATCAGATTTGAAGGTATGGACTCCAAAGGTCAAGGCTGAGCATATCCGAGGAAAAATGCTTCCTCTGTTGGTATTTTACATAATATAAAATAATGCATTACAGCTGTGGTAACTTGATGCGTATATATGAACATCCTATAGTAAAATAAGCGTATAGCATACACTTATAATAAAATTGTTGTTAGTATTGTGTATAATTATTAGACCTTTGCCTTGTACGTGGAAGCACAGTTTTCCTTCATCTTTCTTGACAAGTTTTTCTTCATCTTTTGTTTCTTGGTCATCAAGCTGGTAAAAAGTTTAATTTGTGAATAAAGAGGAAAATTTTAGACTTTTAAATATTACAAAATCATTTTTACATTTCTATTGTATCGTTTTTCAAAAGCAAACAAGTATTTCACCTGCCATTACCTTGAGTCAGTAGGAAACTGGTGTCTAAAATCAGCTACTCTGCCCTTTTCTTTGCTGGGGTAGGCAGGCTGTGAGATTGGGCCTTACCTCTGATTGCGTTGCCTGACTTGACAAACTGGGCAGCGATTTGCCTATCAGTAGGCAAATGAGCTGGTAGGCAGTGATTCAGTACCAGTATCAAAACTTCTATTACATTAGAAGAGAAAGAACAGACTACTAACCAGCTGCTCCTCTGTTACTGTAGCACAGCAGCTGCTTGGTGTAGCTGTAGCATTAGCAGCACACAAACATCTCTTGGTATCCTTTCCTGTCTGCATCCCAGAGGGGAAGTTGCAGTCCTTGTTCCTCTCTGACATAAAAATTCAGAATCAGCAATGCTGTCTGTGGTTTAAAAAAAAAAAAAAAACCCAAAGCCCTAGAATCCCTGACATAAACAGAGCTGCTTTTAAAGCAGTCTTTGCAATATAAAGTGCCTGTCTGAGGTGCCTATCTGAAGTTAACTAAAGAAGAGTGCGAATCATTGAATAAGGTACATTGGAAGGGACGCATCGAAGTCCTCTCCTACCCTTTGCTCAGGGCAGTCCCAAGAGATTAGGTTGCTCAGGACCATGTTCAGGCAAGTTTTGTTTATCTGCAAGGGTGAAGATAACAACTCTCTGTTCTGGTATATACCTACTTTGTAGTTTTGGGGAGTTTTTTTAGTTCCTGTATTTGATCAGCTTTTCCCATGCTTCAGCTCATTTGTTACTTCTAGTCCTAATCACTGCAATTCTGAGACATCTGTCGCACTGTTTCTATTTTTCCAATCAGGTAGCTGTAGACAGCAGTAAAATCTCTACCTATCTCTTCTTAATGCTAAATTGCAGTTAACATAGATTGCACTGAGCATGCAATTAAAACTTCTGTATTCAGTGCCTCCTTTCTTTTACAGGGAGCATAAAAGAGAAGAAATGATATTGAAAGAAACTTAAGTTACACACTGGTTGGATGTACCTGCAGTTGCTGAAACCTGTTGATTATTGAAATGCTATGAAATGGCATATTGTCAGATTGATGCTGACTTTGTCCAACTTCATTTGTTTTATTAGCACTAGTGATTCTCTTAAATATATATGTATATTCTTATGCTTTTTCATGCTTTATTTAAAGCCATATATATGTTTTTGCCCATTACACAATAAGTAGCATGCAGGCAAGGTATTGAGCCTTGTATGCTTGATGTGTAAGAAGTGAGAATAGAAGTTACACATAGGGCATTACATATTAATTTTTGAGATAATTCTTTCTGAGACTGTGCTGTGAGTGCTGACATAATTGCCCCAGCAACAGTGGGTGGAAAGCAAGACTATTCTCAAATTTTGAAGGTTATGTAACCCGTTTACAGCTTTTCCTTTTCTGACAGTCTTGCAGTAAAAGGCAGCGCTAGATCAGTGGCCCTAGAGGTTTCCTTCCAGAGCTGAAGTGTTCCAAGCAAATATTTGCTCTGTCGATCCATGTTCTTCATTAGCTCTTCAGCAGGCAGCCCTTATGGTGAGGAAGTCACTTCAAAGTCGAGCACTATTTAGCCTTCTTCTCCCTCACCTCCATGTAGGACAGTGCTGTACTCAATTTGGCTTATACTAACATGCTAGAAATTGCTGCTAGACTAACACTAGCCATCTGGGTTTGTCCACCGAGCCGTTCTAAGTCTTTGAAGCTGCAACACTGACCTTCCAGAATTGCTTTAAGTAAATTATCTAGCAAGAGTATGAAGGATGAACATGTCTTCCTGTTAACACGTAAGTTCCGGTGTAGAGCTTGAAAGGGCATCCATTCTGAAGTTATAAATCAGAGTGTTTGCTTTGCCTGAAAACTGTTCAGATTTTTTAATTGTTTGGGTCCTCTGAAGGTTGAGTAAATCTGTAATCTTTCTTAATGTTGCTTCATTAGGTAGAACAGAGTGTAGAAACCGTTCAACTCCAGGAACTTCTTGGCATGTGAAAGCCATCTAGTAGAAAAATGAAGATGTTTCTATACAGCTTTCCCTGAAAGACTTCAAAAGGTTTGGGATAAACATTAATGGTTTCCAGTTTCCTGTAGGTCACTTTGCTGATATCAAATGTGCTTAGCTGACACAACCTTAATTCAAAACCTATTGTTTGAGAACTGTATGACAACGGCACAGGCATTTGGCTGTATTTACAAGATCAGGGAGCTTTCCTTCTTCCAGCTCATCTCCTGAACTGCCATGTGCCTAATTTTTTGTGCTAATGAAGCTGGCCGTGGGATCCGTGTGGCCTATTTGGCCTCTTCTGCTTTCAGAGCTATTTCCATTTGAGACAAACCCAGGGTAGTTTTATCTGCTCGATTTGCACTTTGCCTTGGCCTGCTGCCACTGCTTCTGATGACATCCTGCTGCCTTGGCACTCACCTCCTTGAGGAAAAGCTGTAGCTGCGAGCTGAGCTCTCGGCTGCATCCCCCTGTTATTGTTTTGCTGAGGTTGTGGTGGCTGGAGGTGTGGGATGGCAGCAAATGGCAGTGGTTGGCGCTTCCTGAGGTGCCTAGTGCTCTGTGCAATGGCCATCGAATACAGGAGGAAAATGTATAAGAGGATTATATCCAATGCGATAGTAAGATTTTTCCATTGCTTTTGCAGTGAATTCATTGAATAATGGTCTTGTTGAGCCTAGAGCTGTTGCATCTGTCAGTTTTTCCCTCTAAGACTTCAATTTAGCCACAGTCTGAATCTGTCTTTGTGTGCCACTGTATGTATAGTCAAATTGGTACAATTTTCATTCTTCGGATTTACCACAGGATTTTTGACTGATCCAAATTAGCTCGGTTTTTAACATAGCTAATCTTCCTGATGCCTTAAGGAGAACGAAGTTCTGATGGCTTGCCTGATGGGCTTCATGGGAAACATTTCCCATGATTCTTTTTGATGCAGATAGCTTGGAGTTGAAAAGTTGTAATCCGTCATTTTGTACATAGCTGCATTTCTGTTGCATTCTGCGCAGTCGCTGTAGTTGTAAGATGTCCTGAGATCACTAAAAAAACATATTGTATAAAATTTCATAGCTAAAAGGTCACCATTTGATGAATGGATCTCTCCCATGTGTTCTCTGAGTATATACTGCTTGCCAGCATGAATTATATCTTAACGGTGATTACTTTTTCGTGATTTTTTGCCATAATGTTTTCCTAATCATAAAGGAAATGGGTTTAACTGTCCACTGGAGTGTCACAGCTAACAGAGCTTCTTCTGCTTGAAAGCTATTTTTTCCCCCCTCTTAAAGATAGGTGGACTTAAAGATGATGAGGGGTGTTCTTGTGTTTGACCTTTTCTCTTATAAGTTTGCTTGCCCTTTAGACTACCCCTTAATGAAAAAAAAAAAAGAAAGAAAAAGGCTTTTATCTTTATCGCATTTATTCCTCTGGTTATTATCTGCTGGACTTTTATTTGCTCCCTGGGGAAATAGATCTACAGATGCAGAGTGCAAGCCAGAGAGCGCAAAACTGGCGGTAGCTACCAACTTCTTGACAAAAGCATCTTTTTTTTTTTTTTTTTACCAACAATCATCCGTTTTCACCTTGGCGTTGTTTGGCCAAGGGGATTTGGGGTTTGTCATGGATTATTTAAGGGGGTGGGGATTCTTAATGGAGTACGAACAGTTTGTGTCTGTGTTTCCATACCTCCTCTCAGCAGGACTGGAGTTGTAAGAGGGCGATGCTCTCTTTAGACCTCACGTGCCTCTCGAGCCTGCAGAGCTGGCCTGGTGCTTCCACTAGCCTGCAGGATTGTTTTAAGACAAGCACAAATGCTTAGGCCTGTGATGCATCTCTCTACTATTGGTGCTTTCTAGGTGATATTTTTTTTAGACTGGCTGAGTTTTTATATATATATATATATATAAATCTCAAGTTTCATGTGCCTTATGATTGCTCATTTCAGCCTGTGTTATGTTTGTGGAAATATGGATAATACTTGCCAAAGATATGCAGCTGACTCCTTGGTGTGTCATCTGAACTGTAATTCCCTCCTACTGAGAGTAGGAAACTCTGTGCCTCATGGTGTTTGCTTGCTTGGAATTACCAGGCAAAAAGCTGTATCACTGCTGCAGCTCCAAAATGCTACGGCAGGCAGGTTCAGCTAGGTTGTGGTCGTATGTTTTCAGCAGTCATTACTTTCAAGCCATGGCATATCCACGCCGTGCTGTGGTATATCTGCATGGGTGTAGATTAAAAGTGGTATGTACTTTATGTGTCTTAGTGCCTGTAGCCCAGCTCGGGGGTTTGCACTTTAGAGGTATAAATGAGAGTGAGGAAGACGACCCAGGTCCTTAAATATTAGTTGTCTCTTTAGGCAGCTATCAAATGTTACAAACTTACTACTAGCTGTGACGTTAGGGCCTCCCTTCCTTTGTAAGAAGCTGCTATTAAATGTTGGCTGCAGGATATGTTTATGATGCATGTAAGCTTGTAAGGTGCCTGCATTATGCCTCAGGTGACATTTGCACCTGGAAAGCTTGCAGCAGGAGGGGCAAGTCAGTCTTATGGATCTCTAACTGTCTTCCAGGACTCATCGTTGGGGTCATCTTGAGATACGGGACTCCTTCGACCAGTGGCCATGATAAACCCTTCAGCTGCTCGCAGGAGAGCCGCCCATTCACAACCCTGTTGGTTAACATCAGCGGCAAGTTCTTTGAGTATACTCTCAAAGGGGAGATAAGCCCTGGGAAGATCCACAACGTGGAGCAAAACGACATGTTGCGAAAGGTGAGGGCAGACCTGCTGCCTGCCTCTTGCTTTGTGCCTGTTATCTGTTCTTCCCTCCCTGCCAACTGAGTGTTAGGTAGTAGAAAGTGTCTGTATTTCTGATGGTAACAACATTTCAAGGCTTAATTTGGAAGCACTAACTGCATTATTGCTACTAGCAGAGCTCTCGTCGTTACCTGTGTGTGATGCTTTCCCAGTTGGATTGATTACTTATCTAAGACTTAATGGATGTTGCTAATATCTGTAGAATTCACTAAGATTAGCTGTATTAGAAACATGATGCTTCCTTGTGTAACATAGTATAAGGAAAATTGATTACTGATTGCTTTTGGTGGTTTCTTTCCTAGAGTTTGTTTAATCTGTTTATTTTCAGGCAATAGTTACTGCTTTACATCCCCATAGTCCACCAAATGAGGCAATCTGACAGTGGGAGTAGAATTCATCTGGCCAACTAGCTCATATCTACTATTCGGCTTCAACGGCAGGAATTAAACACCTTTGGCGTGTAGCAAAGGTAGACTTAGAGGTATAGGATTTGAAACTTTAGGTTTATAACCTAAAAATAATACTTTATACTGGCTTGTAAAGAGATCTTAGGTGACTGCTGCTATACATCTGTCTGCTGTAGATATCTGACGTTAAATGAAATGAATGCCGTTCAGGGAGTGAGTGCACAGTTGTGTCCAGGTCTTAGGCAGTGGGTGAAGAGGGTGCATGGTTAATCTCACATGTGTGCAGGTCATCTGTCTGCATTTTAAATGTTGGTTTTGTCTCTTTTCTCAATTTATACTTTTTCATGGATATCTGCAGCTTCCACTGAGATGCTTGCAAGTGATGGATGATACTTCTTGAAAACCAGTCTCATGTCTGTGACTTGATTGGCTTGTAATGATTATGCTAGTAGCTAGCTAGCGTTTAATCTGCAAATTCATACAATATAATGATCAGCCATGAAAAGGGTCGTCTTCTCCAGCATAATATCTATTAGATTTTTGGGAGGGCAGGACTGGGGGGGGAACTGTTTTTGGTTTATAACTTTAGAAAGGGACAGTGTTTGGGGACATTGCTAGACTATCATTGGTGACTGTGTATATCTGTTAATCTAGTAGCTGCTTGTCATGAAAATCTGCAGGATTTTCTTTGTTGGTTTTGAAGGTTCAACCTAGCAACCTTTGCTATTTCAACAAGCAAAAACCAGCAAGAAAGGGGGGAAAAAAAAGAAAGAGAGAGAAAAAGACCTATTTATGTATCTGTTTCTAATTGAGGTTTCACAATTTATTTTTAGGTAACATTTGACCCAGAAGTTTTTTTCAACATTCTGTTGCCTCCTATTATTTTTCATGCTGGTTATAGCCTGAAGAAGGTAAGTATAATCAGTTTCTGAGGAAAAAATCTTTTTCTTTTTAATATGAGAACCATTGATCTATTCAGAAATGCAGTTTCCACTTCAACATGTCTTTTTAGGCAAGTAATAAATCTCAGCTGGCTACATCAGACTTTTTAAGAAGAAAGGTATTATTTCTTACTCCAAATGCTTTAAAATTTGTTTCCTCTTACTGTTTTTACTTTGTTCTTTTTCACACATTGTCCCTGATTAACATTTGTGTATTTAAATGAGGGAATGTCCTGCCGTGAGTCATTCTGATTGTTCTTGAATGGCCAAAATGCAGTAAGTTATCCTAAGAAGTGGGTACAGACCGATGTGTTTGAATGGCCATAGGCACAGATGGTGCTTTCGCTTGAAGATACCACAATTGCTAATGTGGTGCCAGCTTTTTCTTAGATTTGCAGCCAGCTCTTGTATTTATTTTATAAATTGTCTGGAAAGCTTCTTGTCAGTAAGCCATGGTTAGGATTTAAGACACTGTTCAAATTTGGTTCATTCAATTTATTGAAGTTGGATAGAATTTATATTGCAGTAACTGAAACCTTCATCTGGAACACTAGGGTTTTTCCACGTATTTCTCAACAATGTGCTGTCTGTTTTCGAATGGGCGATATCACTTGTTTAAATGAACGTGTACATTTCTTTCCTATTCAGAGACACTTTTTCAGGAATTTGGGCTCGATTTTGGCTTATGCCTTTTTAGGAACAGCAGTCTCTTGTTTTATTATTGGGTGAGTGAAATTTGTTATATCAGTTCCATTTTATATTGAAGTTTAAGTTGATAAAATAAATATACAGTCTTCCGAATTGCCTTCATTTTGTAATTTGTCTGTTAAATGATTTTATTTGTGTATTTCTGGACAAAATTCAAAGTTAAATTTTGCTGCGCATTATCTGATCTTTGGGAGATACACAAAAAAGCTCTGCAGTATGTGTACTGTGTTGAAAGAAACAGCATTGAGGGGGATTTTGGGCAAGAAAGCACTTCCTTTGATAGAAAAAAAAAAAACAATATGTAGGTTAAACATACTAATAGTGAACAGATTACATGCTTTGTTTACTGATTTTTAAATGATGGACTCTGCTCATGATGCAGAGTCAAGGGGAAAAGAGGAAAATTTAGTTTTAGCCTGTCTGAAGTGCACCAACTTTTTGAAATGCTCTCTCATCCTTTTCTCTCCAGGAATCTCATGTATGGTGTTGTGAAATTAATGAAGTTGGTGGGACAGCTGTCTGATAAGTTCTACTATACAGACTGCCTCCTTTTTGGAGCAATAATATCTGCCACTGATCCAGGTAGCTGAACAGGTTTTAATAAAAAAAAAATGAATAAAAATGTTGAGTTTTTTTTTAAATGAAAAACTGAACTGTTTTTAACAGTGTCCCCAAATGATTCCACTAGTAGGTTTGCTGACTGTGTAGCGCAAAGATGTTAACAGTAATTTTTATTTTCAGTTATGTTAGTATCTCTGATTCTCCTCTGTGTAATGCACAAAAATCCTGGGTGTTGTGAAAACTGTTCTTTATCAGACTGGTGCTGGGCTGGTATGATAATATGCTTGGGGAAGGATGTGTTTTTTTCTGTTTAAATAATTTATTTTTAATTTTTTTTAATAATAGCATTTTTTTGTGTGCATTAAGTCTAAGGCTGCAAATAGATGAAATTATTTTACTCTCAGGGTAGCAGGACTTTTGTGTAGCTACGTTGTTTACAACATCAGATAATTCTTGAGCTGTATTTGAGAGGAAGGTTCGTGTTGGGGGCTGGCTTCCCCCTCCCCCTTTTTGTTTCTTCCTTTTTCCTCCAGATGATCTCTATATGTTATAAATTTAAGCAGAATAATATTCTTCTGGTAAATTAATTAGAGGTTTTGGCATAAACCCTAGTTATCCTTCAAAGCAAAATAGGCTCGGACAGATGTCTATGCTTCAATTACAGACATTCATTCAATCAAATCAATCTGGAGGGCTAGTGTGCCTGGGGGTGGAGGGGAGGTCACGGTGAGGTATGAGGCTTTAAAACAGGTTGTTTGACATGCTTAGGGTTGGGTTGTGCAAGTGGGAGGTAGCCCCTGTGGTTGAGCTGAGCTCTGAACAGCAGGTGATTGCACCAGCTTTGTCTTTCTGCAAAGACAGGTCATGCTCCTGCATAGGAACATCTTCAAGATTGCGGCCTTTCGCTTCAGACTGAAAGGCTTTTGAAAGGAGTGTCACAAAAATTGAGCAGCCTTGCCCTCCGGAGGCTCGGTGTGTGCTTTGGTGAGCACTTTGGCTTGTTAGCACTGTTTTACAGTGACTGAAGTAATAAGGCCATATGGGCTCTTCAACAAAACTTTTAAAGGTTGTCAGATGTGCACAGCTTCTGTTGCTTACCTTAAGCAGAACATACCCTGCAAAAATGATCCAGGGTTTTGGTAAAGGGCTTCGTCTACCCTCACTGATCTCGGGGATTTCCTCTAGTTTTCTACAGAAACCCACAGAGCCACTTTCTGTTGATAAGCATGACTAATCTGTTTCCCACTTTAATTTTCATCCTGTATGTCCGTTTCTAGGTTTTGTTGCCTTAAGCATACTGGAAAGCCTGCTCTGGCAGCCCACACCATAATCCTGAAGTCAACCAGTATGATATATGTTCATATGTATTTTTGTTTTCTTTTCTTTCTGTAGTTACCGTGCTAGCAATATTTAATGAGCTGCATGCTGATGTCGATCTCTATGCCCTTCTGTTTGGGGAGAGTGTTTTGAATGATGCTGTTGCCATTGTATTATCTTCGTAAGTAACTGCCTGAGCTTCTACTGTGAAATCACTTAATTGTTCTGTATACTTGTCTAAAGTTTAATTACTTTTGAAAAATGTTATTTTAAATTTAAATGGAGTATCTTCAACCGAATTAGTAAACATTGCAAACACTTGTTAAAATTCTTTATGCATATATGCACTGTAAAAAGAAAAGATTCCCCTTCAGCATGGGGATTCCTTCTTTTATACAGGCACCGCTGTTCACAAAATAAAACCTTTTTGATGCCAGGTTTTAACTTTTCATTCTGCAACTCTTTCTAGATCTATAGTCGCCTACCAGCCAACAGGGGAAAATACCCATGCTTTTGATGCGGCAGCATTTTTCAAATCAGTTGGTGTTTTCCTGGGAATATTCAGTGGCTCTTTCATGATGGGAGCAGTGACGGGTGTTGTGACAGCTCTGATATCCTTTTTCATGTTTAGCTCTTCCAGACTGCATAATACATTCAGGTCTTAGCAGGGATCCCCTGTAGGGATGTTGACTCTAGCTTGTCCTAATCTGAGTGTCAAGATATGATAAATATTCACATCACCTCCGTCTTTATACAAAGCCATATAGGTATTCATAGAAATTGCCTTTTTCTTACGTAATTTCCTACATAATTCTGATGTTGTTGCAGTATCTGTTGTGCTGGCAAAATTTTAAAGCAAAGGAGAGACTCTAGATGGGTAAGTTCCAACATTATCTTCCTTTTTTGTTTAAGGAAGCAGTGTCTGTTACTGGGTCTGAAAGACAAACTCATGATAACTCGTGACTTGTTCTCCTGTCTTCAGCAAAATCTCTGATAATAGCTAGGTCAAACATTAATGGGTTCTTTGTGAGAACCTGACATTAACCTTTCTGCTGGAAGTCTAATGTTGAGCATCTTGGGTGAAACTGAACCTCTACCAGAGTTAACATCCTAATGTGATGCATCAGCTTTGCATCCTGATGTGCTCTCAGGAAGCTGAGTATCGCTGTTTGCTGTGAGCTCTGAAGCACTCGGGGAGCAGTTCCTGAGTTTGGCTTTTGGCTCAGGCAGAAGACCTTAAGCCTGACCCCCTCAAGGGATCATAATGCTACATAAGGGAAAAACTCGAATTCTTTGTTGCTATACTGGCTGGTGTAACCCCGTTTGTATGCCTCCCAGCTTGCTTTGGTCTGTCTAGACTTCTGAAAAATGAAGTAAAAGGGGCAGAATCTAATATTTTATATTAAATCTCTGAATGAACCTCTGACTATCTTAAGCAATAATGTTTCACCTGTATTTTTCTGTGCACTCACCACACTGGTTTGTCTGTTCATATGCTGCATAACAGGAACACTTCAGGTACAAGGGGAAATGCTTTAATGTTCAGTCCCCAGCTGCACTGTTCCACTGTCAGTGTGATCCACAGCTGCGATTCTTAATCTGCATTTTAGGCTATCAGCCATCCACAGTCCTAGCTGGTCAGTGCTCTTGCTGTGTATTTGGCTTTCTGGCTGGCTACCAAGTAGAGCTAAAATGCATTCAGACCCATTTTATAGCATAATATTTCTGAAGCAGTGATTGCCTCTTGCTCTTTGTAGTCTGTGTGCTCAAGAGGAGATCATGAGGAGAGGGGAGGCTGTTCCCAAGGCGGCCTCTGGTTAAAAAACAAACAAAATCAAAACCAGCATATGTAATCTGTTGCTCAGTTATACAATTTTAATGACTCTTTGGGAAAATTATGTCATGTAATACTCTAGAAAGAAGCTATAAATGGGCATTTAATCTCTTCTTAGCTAATTAGAACCCATAATTTAAGTCATGAATGATGTTAATAGACTCTTATTGCAAAGAAATTTTCTGTCGTACTGTCATAACTGTGAAATAACTATAGCTGCACCTCTCTACCAATGAGGGGTTTAATAAATAGCTGACATAGTTACTCATGGCCTTTTTAAAACAGATGGGATATTTGGTTTGCAAATATGATGCAGATATTTTGCATGGACTCTTCTGGCTTTTAACAAGTTGTCTTGGCCACACTATCTGTGATTATTTTTGTAGGAGTGAGGGTAGCGTACCACTTCCTATTTCCTTTGTGAAATAGAGAGCCTGCCTGATTGGCCTGAAGCAAAGCAGAATGCTAAGGAGTCAAGAAAGACAAATGTCGTTGTGTTATGGTTCAAGTTAAAAAAAATACAAAATAAAGATAACAATTCATATTTGAAATAACTTAATTTCAAATAACATTTTAGTTAACTGCAGCTGGATAATCTGAGCACTCAGTGGGACAATGGGCTTCAGTTGTTGCTCCAGTATGTGGTACCACCATGGTGTTGTCACCTGTTTGCCAAAATGAAACCCACAGACAAGTCAAAAAGCCAGGCCAGCAATAACTGCATCTCATCAAAAGTTCTAGTGTGATGGTTTTATGTGGAGAGGAAGCTACATGGAGAATAACCCTTACTGAGAATAAGTGTTATTTCTAGACATTAGTTATATTTCTAGTGTAATGCCAGCTTTTGTTTTTCTGAGAACTTGGACTTTCTTTTAACTCTACGTTCTGAAAAATGTATGCTGCAGTGTAAGTATATTTTTCAGACCCAATTCCCCTTGTTGAGTAGCTTAGAGAAACGGTAAGAAATCGATGCTGGGGGGAGGAGGTGGCGGTGCTCAGAGTTGCCGAATGCTACAGAGACTGTCGCTGCGAGGCAGCCAGTTGCCTTCTCCTTCCTTTGCCTCTGCTGTTAACGGCTCATAGCGAACACCAGGTCCTGGGGTAGAGCCTGCAGCAGAGGAAACTTCCACTGACCCTCCTGGGCTACCCCAGCCTCACTGCAGAGGCTGCTGTGAGCCCCAGCCCTCTTGGAACCTGGGAATTTTCTTGTGGAAGTGATGCTGCTCATGGCCTTGCCATCTGTTTTGCCTGTTGAATTGCAACTCTCCAAATATTAGTTCGCATTTGTGTAATGCTGCAGAGAGCAGCAGAGAATGATGGTGGGTCATGGTGCAGCCACGTGTGCAACACGTGTCCATTGGAGTACTGGTTCCCTTCAGGTGGGGAAGGGGGAAGTGCTGCCTGCTTTGCTGTTTCGAGTGGTCTGACTCTTCTCATGCCACCCTCCTGCTTGGATTTTGCAGATTTCACAGGCGGGCGTCATTAACAGCCCTCAGAAAGGTGAGGGATCCCTACCATTCCTGTTAGCACCTGGTTTCTTTCTGCATCTTCTAGTAGACATGTGTATTACACTCTGTACTTCAGATATTGTGAGCTGTACAGTGCTCACCTGCTGCCAGAGCAGTGATGGGTGCAGGTGGGGGAACTGTACCATGAACATGAGAGCAACTGTCTTACAGTATACAGTGGGCGATATTTATTGAGACTTGTTCCACTTTTTCAACATATATATGAAATGGTAAATCAGTGTTTTGTTGTTTGAAGTTATTCAACTTGGCGCTCATGCAGAAGATGAGCTTGTTTTCTCTCACCCTGTCAAAGACTCAACTGTTGTGGTTGAACTGGCTCTTTCTCTAAAACACATCAATGCAGGGAGAGGGAAATACATTTTGCTGTAGGCAGGATTTCTGTTTTACCTTAAAAGTACAGAAGTAACCGTATTTGCTGAAAAAATGACTTGTCAACAAATCTGAACAGAAATTCTGATAAATCTGTTTCATTATAGAGTTCCTGTAGTCAAGACCACCGCAATTTTAACATTTCTGAATGTGTTTTATAATTGAGTAAAGTAAAATAAAGTGGGGGTGGGGAGGAGGGCTCTCTTAAAGCAGCATCTACAAGAGTCACCAAGTATATATCACTTCCATACTGGCACTTTGCAGGAGTATGTAACAGAGCAAGGTATTTTAGTTGAAACATGTGGAAATATCTGAAAGAGATGGGTGTTGCAAGGGGAAACCTTAGACTTTGTTTCTCAATCCTTAGGTTTTTCTCATCAAGTCAATTGACTGAATGTTCTTAGATCCACATTGGTTATTAGTGCATTTAAAGGCTTTTGATAAATGCTAGGTACAAAAAAGCCAAACACTTGTGTATTTTATTTGATTCCTTAACCAACGACTTAACGTGACCAAGTTTACCAAGTTGCACTGCTTCCCCCTGCTGGAAACAGCTCTCTTCTTCCTGATGTCCTGGAGCACTTTCTTACTAGCAGAAGCTTGCGGATTTACTGGTGAGTTTGGGGATTCAAGGGTGCTTAGGTAAAACTCCTGTTTATCTTAGCCATTTTAAACTTGCTCTTCAAAAACATTTCCTATGAGAAACATTACGTAGGCGCCTTAGACTTCTTTGTGTTTAGTACAATGCCATCTAAGGCAGAGCTCACTGTATAATGAGGGTATTTAAGAAAATCACTGCTTCTTCTCAGCCCTCCTCCAAAACCTGAAATATATGTGACTTATTTAAAAACGAGGTTCATAAAATCTCAAGATTAAGGATGTCGTATAAAATTAACAGAAGTTTGAGCAAGGAGGTAGGTATGGTGTTAAGCAGACATAAATGGACTAATTTTTTCCGTGTGGCTCTCGTCGCAGGTGTAGTAGCTGTCCTCTTCTGTGGAATTACCCAGGCTCACTATACATACAATAACTTGTCAGTTGAATCAAGAAGTCGTACTAAACAGGTAAGACATTGCCCTGTACCTTTTCTGTAGTCTACTGTCATAGTAGTCTCTGTATTACTGCTGGGCTTTTTTAAAGCATTTTTATTGCTTGGCCATTAATTTGAAATTCTTTTTCCTAGCTCTTTGAGGTATTGCACTTCCTGGCTGAGAACTTCATATTTTCATATATGGGTCTGGCGCTGTTTACTTTCCAGAAACACATATTCAGCCCAGTTTTCATCATTGGAGCTTTTGTATCCTTTCTCGCTTTGTGTGAGGTTTTGTATGTGCCTTTAAAATCTCTTCTGACCGTGCAGTTTCTAGCATGGTGATTAATTTGCGTGTGATACATTACAGGCACAATAATCCCAAGAATGGGCTTTTGTTACCCTTTTCATCAAAGTTGTAAGGCTTCTATGCCATAAACAGGCTCTGCAACTGAGCAAGTGCTAAAAGCCACCTAAATTCAGTTTATATGTATGTGCTTTGCTCCTTGTAGTCACAGCAGTGCAACTTCAGGCATTGGATTTTAAAATTCCCTTTCTGGCTGGGAAACGTAAGTATTGGCAGGAGGGAAAGGCATCGTCCTGTGTTGCACTTCCATCAGCATGAACAACCCGAGTTACCTTCTTGAAGCGAAGTGCTTGCTACTCACATGTGGTGAAGGACTACACCAAAGGCCACAACCCAAATAGCATGCTGCCAAGAGAATTCTTCAGGAAGAGCAGTGGCTCACCAAGGCAATGTGAAATGGACTCTTTTCTGAAAAAAAAAATCTTTTTTAATCTTCCTATTTTCTTCTAGAGTATTCTAGAGGGATTTATGAATGGCCTTCAGGACTCTGTTGTTGTTGTTTCTTATTTATCTTTTTTTCACTGTTCCTCTCCCATCCCAAATATACACCTTGCTCAACTGGAAAAATTACATCAGATTACATCTCAGGGGGGAGAGGAAGAGAATGGGGG